TACAATCAATTTAGTATTATATAACAAAAGCTATCTAATCTAAGCATATAGTGGATAGTTCAGCTGCAGTAGGAAAGAGAGTGTGGGTGTTGGTGCGAATAAATGCCACACAATGATCGTCAATCACATGTTTATCTATACACCCCTCAAGACACCCACACAAACCTTAGTCAGCAAAGGCAGCTTTGAACTCAGAGTAGAATGCCTATATAACTTGTAAATGTTGAAATCTAAATACTCGAACCTTGCATCCTTTAGTAGATCTTATAATTATGATATTATTTGAAGAATGATGAAATATAAAATACTATTTTTATCATCAGTACATAAAAAGAAAATTTCCTCAATCTTAGTAATTCTCATCTGTAGACAAAAATTTTACTGTACATCTAGTATTATAAGACGTAGATCAATTCGAAAACTCTCGATTTCGTTAGTATTCAGCATTTGATTTTTAAGAAATTTTAAAGATTCATGTTACACCAAACATCTTACTTGATTTAGTATTCAAAAACAAATTTATATTACAATATTTAGTTAATTATTACAAAACAGACAAATGAATTAAATACAAAAAGAAACTTATTTATTGTTATTTTTTGATTTGTTTCTTAAAAAATAATAATAATCATTATGTCAATTTAATTATTATTGTTTTGTTTTTGTTTCAATCAAGTTCACAAATGTATCTCGACGTCCATCCATTACATGCTATATCCGTTGTACAAACTGAACTAATAAGGATTCGGCTACATTTTAACGATGAAAAACTTGTTGCTACACCTGAACACCATGTCAATGTTGGTGATACTGTTCCATTATAAAGAAACCATTTACTATAATTATAACGATTTGTATGACCAATAAATATATCATAATATTGTGTTGTTGCAAATTTACTTATATCTTGAAGTTCTTGTAAATCATCAATATAAACTAAATGACTTGTACTACCAAAATATGATGTTGCTGCTGTTGAACAAAGACTTGATGATTCATTCCAATGAACATAAGAATCAACTTTAACATAACAATAAACACGTGGTTGAATTGTACCATTTGATGTAACGACTTGCCATGATGTTGGACAATCACGACAACGTATACCATCCCAAAAACATGTTGAACATAATGAACATGTACATGTAAAGTTTCGACAACGTAAACCAATATCCATACGACACCAATCATCATATAAACAAAATCCTGTATATGCACGTTGACTTTGACATACATAAGTATCCCAATAATAATCTAGGTGAAAATAATAAAAAGAAAAACCTCTTTCCTATCTAATCTATTGAAGACATTCTTTTCGTTTTTGGTGTCGATAAAATTCAAAATATCAAGTTCGTTCGTCTATCTGCTAGTCTTTTACATTAGGTATCATATTCAGAGTTCATAAAAAAAAAAGCATAAACTTACATTGTGGACATGTACATGTTGATGTATTTGCTGAACATATAAGTCCAGTGTTAGAAAGACAAGGAGCAGTTAAACATTGTTCACTATATTGTGATTGAAAATCACAATAATTGCCTGGTGTCCAATATGAATTCACTTCACATAAACATCGATTATCTATACAACGTAAACCATAATCGCTCTCACAACCTGTTTGATAATCACATGACGAATTATATTGAATTTTCTTTGGATATACACATGTAGATGTTGATGGTGACCAATAATAATAAATATCATTACATTGACATAAACCATATGAACATGATAATTGTGTATTTGGTAAACAAGATGATGTATCATAACATGGTTGTAAATATGAACTATATGATAAACATACTTCACCATCAAAATAAGTTGATGATGGACATTGACATGTTGCTGTTACATTATCACATAGAAATGTCGTTGAACAACCTGATAACGTTTTATATGGATCACATGGACTATTAATAGAACGATATGATTCGCAATATTGTCCATTCCAAAATGTAATATTTGTATTGCATGTACAAATATTTCCAGATAAACATGTTAAATTTAATAAATTATCACATGTATCATTTAATATTGAACATATTTCACCATATTTTAACATTGATTTACATAAACTTCCATTATATATATAATGATCAAGACATGTACATTGATATAGACTCATATTACATTGAAGATTATCACGATTCGAACATTCTTGTGAACGATAACAACCTTGTTCATAATGTCGTTGTTTTAAACAACCAATAAGTGTATCTTCTGTATTATAACATCCACAATATTCATTTGTCATATTACATAGAACAGTATAACTTGAATTTTTTGGGCAATACGATATTAATGGACATTGATAATTTAATTGTGATTGTCTATTTGCTACTGAAATACCAAAACCAATAAGAACAATAACTAATGAAAGAATTGTTAATAATGATATTGAAAAAATTGTACGTGGTGTAAGCAGAATATACCAATGTAATTTTTTTTCTGAAATTTTTGATTTTAATGGTTTAAATGGTGTATCTTCAGGTGTACGATATTCAGATACTTTAACAACACGATTTTCATCATTTTCATCGACTGATGGTGGAATAGGAGATGTTGGATGTAATTTACTTTCTGTAGAAGATGATCGTGGTGAAGATTGATCAAAATTAAATAATTCTTCATCGATTTGAAGATCAATTGGAGATATTGGTGGAGATTCAATTGATTTTTTATATTTATTTTCGGTTTTCTCTGGAGCTATACGAGCAGAATAAAAACGAACTAAAGATGATGGTGCATTATTAACTACAGCACTACGATGTCGTGGTTTGCTGATAGGTTGAATACTTGTCATCGCAATTGATCAATGATTATATTGCAATTGAAAAAAAAATGTTACATAGAAATCGAACAATGAATGAAGAAAAACAATAAGATGAAAAGAAGAAGCTATAAGAATGCTTGCTTTGCTGATTTTTAATTACGCACAAAAAAAACAATACATCAGTTTTCATGGCTTGTTTTTCATTATTCGCTTTTTTCTTTTTGTATAATTTTATCATAATAAGAAAAAAAATGTGCATTATATATATATATGAGTGTTCAATTAACTAGGTTACCTCAGCTATTTGTTTTCATATATACTCAACTGTATGACAGAAAACTAAGGTTTTTGTTTTAGTTATAGCTTATTCATAATGATGGTTATTTGTTATTGTTCAGAGCTTGTCTAGTGTTAATTACAACACTTGATTCTCCAGATTTTTCGTTGGATCTTTCAGTTGCAACTGCATCTTTGATCAAATGATGTTGAGAAAGACCTCAATAAAACTCATAATTTTGAAGAGAAAGAGTTTAAATAACACTAAATAATCAACATCATGAATGTACTATAACTAATACACAAAAACCATACTTTGCTGATATACAGTTTAGACTATATGAAGAAAATAGTAACTGAGATATTCTACTTGATTGACTACTTCTATTAATTTCTTTTGTTTTGTATTGCGCATTTAAGAGGATCATTGTGCCTAAGACTCTCAGTACATTTCATCGATTTTGCTCTTTAATTAACCAACAAATTGAGAACTAGTTGTATAAGATGTGTAGTTTTCTCGAAGAAACGCGATTAATGACGTATCAATTCTTGTTACTTCAACCTTTGTAATTTTTATGATCAACACTAATCATTAGTGTAACATTATTTGTCATTATGATACAACTAATTTCATCTTTATTTTCAATCATGAAAACACAGCATTAACTTTTTGTAATATTACGAATTTACAGTGACTCTTAAAATTATTTGATCTTGTTTATTTTAATTGCTTTTATGCTACTGTAAACACTAATAAGAATCAAAATATTGACTTCAGTAGAGACTTTTATTTCTAATGAGAATGCTTGAAGACAACAATGATTGTTAGTTTGCGAAGGATATAGTCTCAGGCAGGCCAAACAACAAATTTTTCAGTTTCTCAAATTCGTCAGTAGAATTCTATTTTGAATTAAATTCATAATGGTAGAGCAAACTATTCTCTATAAAATAAGAAGTTTTTCAGTTTTGTACCACGGTTTTTGACTGACGTACATCAATTTTATGAAAGGCACAAAAGTCGTTATTTTTCTCTATAATTCTGTATGAAAACACCATTTTGATTACCTAAAGACTATATTCTTGAGAAACGATCAATCACTGTCATCTTCAAGCATCCTTGTTGGAAATAAAGCCCCTAATAATATCATTATTTGGATTCTTATTCACGTGTACAGTAACGGAAAAGAATTGCAAATAAAACTGACCAAATAATTTTGCGAGTCATTGTATCAATGATGTAAACGAATCCTTAGAAGTTTTCTCATTCAAAGATTTACATATCTTGCTACATATAAGCCCTTTTAACAAATAAGTTTCATAAATCAATTCGTCTGGAATTTTGGATAAATGTCTGAATATTTGAAAACTTATATTTCTTTATAATAAACATCAAACGCTCAATATTTATTAAAGTTTTTCTTGACAAATTTTATTTTTATTCAATTTTGTTTCATAAAACAAACATCGAATAAATTTTATAATTTTAACACTAATTTGATACAATATACAGATTCTACTTTACAACAGTGCTGTCACAATTGTGTCAATACACAAAAATTAAAAGATAAATTTTGATTATATGTCAAGATGTGATTTGTTAATCATCATTCATAATTCTATTTACATCTTGTATCTCAATTGGATATTGTGATAGATTTACTTCTCTATAAAAAGAAGATAATGAATTTATTAAATTCTCTATTACATAATAATAATCAGATTAATGTAATAGAAATCCTACGGATACAAATATACCAATAAGTAACACCAGTACTATGGCAAAACATATACTCCAGAAACAAAATGGATAAGTATAATACCATTGACGAATATTAAAGCATGGAAATTGGCAAGGACATTTCCTGTGATACCATTTAGAACGCTTATTTGACTTTGGTTTAGAAATCTAGAATAGAAAAATAAATTTCATTTTTAATTATAAGACTTTTAATCATACAAAATCTTGCATTGTTGAATCTTCACGATCGTCTTCCTCTGACAGAAAAACATCACATACAAGGTCAAGTGGCATTAGTTGTTCTCGTTTTTTTAATTGTTTTTTTGTTGATGAATCATGATTAACAGTTTGAATATCGGATACAATATGATTTGGAGTATCAATAATTGTATTACGATTTTTTTTAGCTACTGGTAAAATAATATCCGTAATTGAACTAAGACTTGTCGGAGCTGTTGCTGTATAAACGGTACGTTCATCTTGAAAACGTCGTTGTACTAATGAAGCTGAACAAGGAGTAGATTTAATTGAATCAGATATTGAACCTGGTTCTCTAATAATACGTGTTGTTCTTACAGGCGGATAATAATGTTTGATAACTGTATTTGATGATGGTGATTTGACTTCAACAAAACGTAGAGTTGATGCTGGAGGTGTTGAATGACGTCGTCGAGATACAAGTACAGTTGTAATAGGTGAAGGAGGACGACTATATGGAATAGATATATAATTCTCAAGACCAGTAACTCGCTTTTGATAAACTGGTATTCGATAAATATTTGATGGTCGACAATCAGTTGTAGCCATGAAAACTTATGTTAATAATTAATATTCTGAAATATTCAATTAACTATTTATAATATCGATGTGCGTAGAAGATTACTGGATGTGAAACAAACTTTATGAATACATTCGATAGAAAGGTTATGAGCAATCTGAGTGATCTACGTTTCTATCTCTATATCAAATAAACAACAAAAAAGAATATTCACACTTATCATTGATCAATCTCACAACAATAAATAAATAGAAAATAGATAACAACAGCAATAAATCACATATGCTTTTGTAATTTCTCGTTATATATTATATAAAATAGGTAATTCTCAATGAGATTATAAAGAATTCATAAATCATTGTTTCCTAATAATCTTTTATGAATTAGACAATAACAGCAAGCAACAAAAAAAATCATTAATTTTCTTTCTTTTTTTTTCGTATATTTGCATTTACGTTATATTCTTCTTTATCATAAAGTATTGAATAAAGAGCAATCGATAGTAGATCAACAAACATTGAATTTACCTTCGAAACATGATCATAAGCTTAAAATATTAATATTTGAATTCATCAAGTAAATGTTGTTCTGTCTCATGCAGACATAGTATTAAATTTTTTAATATATACTAAACTACAAATGTAGCTGACATAGTTTCTCCTTGTACCTACATTGAAATGATGTACAACAAAAAGGTTAAGGATATCTTATATATATATATATATATCAAACAAAAAGCTCTTTTTACATGGTCAATTTACATATAGCAAACATAGAGAATTGGTGATTAAGTAAGGTGGGTGGATCAGCATAAATATGCAAGACGAATAAATCATATCAGTATCGTAATAGTCAAGTGTATATCAACTATGTTCATTAACCAATCGAACAAAAGAAATAATCATTTATCAACATACTTCTTATGTTTTTTATGATTTCTATTTGAATAAAATTTAATCTATGAATACATAAAAACAAGTATCTTGTTTTTTTCTCTTTTTTTCGTACTTCTTTTTGTCATTTTCTTTTTTGAAAAGTTCGAATGATGGTTGAACACTTTATACAAGAATGAGATAAGACAAATATATATATATATCAGTGTCTATGTCAATAGACAAGTGTATGTGTGTAACAAGAAAAAACGAAACGAATGTCAGGAGATTTGAGAAGAGAACACGTCTGTATATAGACCTTTATTCATTCTTTTTTCTCTTCTCTTCTGAGTTATCATTCTTTTTTTTTGAATATCACACTCGACAGCAAAAAGGACGAGACGAGCAGGAATGCGGTTTTTTCTTCAAAACTACAAAAAGCCTATTTAATCGGATATAATGCTTTATTGTGTTATTTTTCTTTAGATTGTATTTTGCTTCGTCATAATTTATTGTGAAAAAGAAAATTTAATGGAAGTAAATGGTGATTCCATTGATTTATATACTCTTGTGAAACGTGATGAACAACTTCTTCAACGACAAACTTCTCCACCACCACCATCACTAAAGGCAATACCATTTATATCAAATACAAGTAAATTTCTTGTGCCAACATTTGGACAAGTTTTTTATACAGATGGCTATTCATCAATGAAACAAGATGATTATTATGAAAGAACTTTATTTGATGAAGAAATGGAAGTACCATCAATTGGTACAGATAAAAAAAATTTTGATATGGCTGAAATGATTACATTTGATATACTTGGTTCATCAACACGTTTACCATTAATGTGTAAAATGATTATTTATCAACAAGGTGCAACACATGAACGTGAACCACCAATACTCGTACGTGATGTATGTATTCAATGGGATGGAATGGATCGTCCACGTCGAAATAGTTGCGATGATTTATCATCAATTAAAAAAAATCATAATGAATATGGTTTAGCACGTGCTAGAAGTAGTGATTATTTATTAGATCATTCAATAAAATTTGGAACTAGAAGAGCTGTACAAGATACAAATCGATGTTTATCAATGGCATCATCTATGACAGAAGATGATGATGCATCATCAGTAATGACAGCCGGTGGTACGATACGACATCGTGTATCTCATTTACTACATCGTCATAGATATCTACGCCAGATAGATACAACTATACTTGGTCGTCATGAATTTTATTCTGTTCCATTTTATCAATATCGTGGACGTCGTTATGGGCAAAAAGATGTTGGAATACAAATCAATGAATCTGATTTAAATAATACGCTTAATTATACTAATAATTTAGATGCAACAACATACTCCGTAACAATTATTTTTCCAGTACGTGATCGTAATGATATTATTGATACTTATTTAAATATTTCGAGAATATTTCATGTTAATATACCAGTTAATCAAAAATCAAAACATACAACTATTGGTTATATGTATACGAAACCATTTGTTACTATTAAACGAACAATTCGTGGTCAAATTGTTTGATGTTTAAATGCTGTATTTTCTCTTTTTTCTTCTTGGTGCAAAACAGAAACAAATATCACAGTTCGATATTTACATTCGAAAATGATGACTAGAAGTAAGACATTTGCTTTTCGCTTTTCAATCTGATTTTTAAAACAACAAATCAGCTTTTTTTGTTTTTCTATGCAGTCGGTTGTATTAATGATGTATTCGTGATTACAGATGATGCGTGTTGTTGTTGTTGTTGTTGTTGATATTGTTTAGAAAGACACCGAATATATTTTAACGCTAAATTAGCAGCATGTTGTCGAGCTAAATCAAATGTTTCACCATAACCATGGAAGACAGATACAGGCAAAAGACGAACTTCAAGTAATAATTCAATAGATCCTTTAAGCATAAAAAAAACATCAATTGCATTATTAATTTAAAAAAAAACACAAGTGAAAGATAATTTAACCTGCATTTATCGTTGGTAATTGAATAAATTCATATGTAAAATTTTGTTCTTGTGCAAGACATTGAAATGTTTCATATGATTGCGATAATTCTTGATGATAATCATCAGAAAGTAATTGTTTTATACAAGGTAAATCACTATTTTTCATTATATGAAATGAATTTTTATCATATAAACGATTCGATCGAGCTACTCCAGTACCACGTATACCATTTGTATCGAGTAACTATAATGGAGTTTTTGAGGAAAAATCACCAAGAAATAAATATATACAAGGTAGGCCATAAATAACTAGATATTAAAAAAGTTTAATGTCCTCCATCTGCTTTAGTCAATTGGACTAATGTTTTTCTCAGTGATAGAAGACTCGTCAAAGCTTTAATTCATAAGAAAACTGTCAAATAGATACTGTATAGAACAAACACTGATTGACTGGACAAGGCATGTGAAGATTTTAGTGTAAATACTACCTTAGATATGTCGGTCAATGAGAGCGGACATGTTTTGTTTGCTTGATTTGAAGAGGAAGTATAGTTTATGACAGCAGTTCTTGTTGTGTGTCTTATAATTCAAACAAGGAAAAAGAAGCTTATGACTCGGCGAACCTAACGTTATGAAATCCTTTAATACGGCTATTGGCGTCGTAAATTTTATCGAGTCTCAACCTAGCGTTCAAACGTTGCGAATATTCGACATAATAATAGATTGATCAAATCATACGCTTCTTTCTTTTTTAATCCTATAGAGCTGACAGTGAGCAGAACTATGGCACATCATGATTTGTCTTTAACTCTAGCAATCAAGGTCGGACTAGTCTCGTTAGCCTACATTTCTAAAATAGTACATATGTTAAAAATTTCAAAAGTGTAGCCTTGAGAACAGTTGAGATTACAGGGAGAATACTTTGGGTGAGTAGTTCAAAATACTATCCATTAATGATTTTCTTGTAAACAAAAACTTTGAAGAGTACTCGGTGGTTAAAAAAAGAAAAAAACCATCTTCATTAAGATAAATGCACCACAGATATTTTGTGCCTTTTTTATTATTTAGTTATTTATGGTCTACTCTCTGTATATCGAAACTTACACTTGAATCATTAGCTTTACGTCGTGATCGACGATATTTCGGATGAGATTGTGAATAATCCAAATCATTCTATGAATTAGAATACATATAGACAAAAAACAAAATATGTCTATCAATGTTATTTTGTGCTATCGGAATATATCTTATATTTTGAAAAGATTGAATTTTCAGTGGAATTATTATTCAAATAAACAATATTAACCTGTTCTTCAGTACGATTAAGTAAAGCTTTCTTTTCTTCAGGTCCAAGATTTTCTAATAAATTAAGTAAATTTGTAGCTGCTTGACGTTTGGCTATCTTTTTTGATAGACCATTACCTATATAATAAAATTAATAAATCACGAAAAAATTTCTTATCAATCAGTCAATTAACCTTCAGCTGTATACGTTGCAACTTTAGCTTGACATGAATATGTTTTAGAATTAGGTACAGAAGCATTTTCTTGATCGAAAAATTCATATTCAGGTGGTCGAATCCAATTTTTTTGTGTTAATTCTTGAAGTTTACCTATTGGATTACTTTTTTCACCATTATTCATTGGATCATCACTTGTATTACTAGTTTGCAATGGCTTTAATACACTATATAATATGATTTAAATAAAGAAATATTTTAAATTAAAAAATGCTTTTTCTTTTTACTTACAAATATTGTTCAATAGTTTTAACTAATGGACTATCAGATAATTTTAATTTAGCATAACATTGTTCAATCATACACAATGCAGCTTTATGTTTAGCACGTTTTTTACTTGAACCTAGAAACGAAAACCATTTGTATTGAAAGTATGATTTTTTTTCAAATATTAAACTTAATAGATTTACCTTTACCAAAGGCAATCATATCATCAACAACAACTCGATAGAGAAATGCTGGTTCATTTGATGTACACTGTGCTTCACTCGGACATAGACTATAAGTTGGCGTGGCATGAATACGAAAACAGATTTCTTGTAAAAAACTAATTGGTGTTTTTAAAGCTAAATCAGTTATAGGCTTATCATGTATAATAGCAACATTACTAATCGATTGTGTCTGTGTTGATAATAATGGTATAGAGGATTCATTATTATCAGATTTTATTGATAATGAACTCAATAATGTATCAGGTAAATTCATCTAAAAAAATATGTATTTATTATTTATTTATATAACAATCAATGCTTTGTTCTTCTTTTTTTTACATCAAATTTAATAATAAAATAAGTAAAAGAAAATTATTAAGACGAACACAAAAAAAATAAATAAAACTTAAAAATCGCAACCTATTGATTTGGTAAATCATTATTAGTTAAATTAGCTGTCATAGTTTCAGTTGGAAATGCTGATATATCTAAATATTTTTTTTCATATGCATGCCATTCATCAGGTACAACAGGAAAATATTGATCCATTCGACGTAAAAATCTTGTTCTATAATGTTCAGGCGATATAACTGTCGGTGATTGTCCTACACTACTCATTGATTTAACAATTGTTTCAATTTTTTTATCCCATGTATATGTTCTTATATAATCAATAATACCGACAAAAACAATTGATTGTTGTTCATCATCATTATTAGTATTAGTATTAGCATTATTATTATTATTATTATTATTATGACATGAAAGTAATAATGAATAATCAACAATACCATGTTTAGCTAAAAATTGTGTATCAGTATATAATGCTTTCATTAATGTCCATTTTGTATGTAAACGTACATAAAATGGATTTTCTTGTGTTTGTGTTAAAAAATTTTCATCTAATAAAACAGCATTTGTTTGTGTATCATCAACAACAACTAAACGATTTCTCATTGAACCTTTTAAATCATATATAATTGGTGGTATTGTTGAATTTTGATTATTTAATAAATTTTCTAAAACTAATATATCACGTTTAAAATTTTCTCCTGTTGAATTATGACGATATTGTATATGATAAATACCAAGAATTTTTGTTAATGTTGTTGGATGATTATATTTTATTGAATCTGTCATATAATCAATATATGATGGTGCAAATGTTGAAAATGATGATGATTCTTTTTGATTAAGATCTTTTAATACAAAATAATCATCATTTGTTTGCCAAAATTCAGATTTTGATTTTCCACCACGTGGTTGCCATTTTTTACAATGTGATAATGAACGTATATATGATGTTTGATCATTATTTGAAAATATAATTTGACGTAATAAATGAAATTTAGCTGCATAAAAAATTTTAACAACAAATTTTGTTGATGAATCATGAAAATGTAATTCAATATGTTGATGATCCTCTAATAAACTATTATTATCATTATCATCATTTTGTTGTTGTATATCATTAGATTTTTGTTCTTGATTTGTTTCATTTATTAATAAAATTTCTTCATTTAAACGTTGTTCATATTCAGACATTGATAATGCATGTGCAATTATTGAACTTAATTCACGATGATTAACGGTATATTTACCAGATAATTGTAAATGTTCATCATCATTAAATGGAGATTTTAATGGCATAAAATCAGTTTCTGAAGTTGCTAAAAATGTTGAAAAAAATTTCAATACACCACTACGTTTAGATGGTTCATCATCATTGGATGATATGATTTTTGGTCCATTGTCAATATTATTTTCATCATTATCAACTATTGTTGATTGTTGTGTTGAGGATATAGATAATGATTCAGCTATACTTGATATATCGGATTCATTTTGAATAGAATTTATTGTTTCATTAGTTGATTCACCTGATGGTAGTGCTTTAATGGATACTTTTTTTGATGCTTCACGTTGTTGTTTTTCATATTTTTTTATTGTTTGTACAAGTTCATTAAGTGTTGTATTCCAATTATGAACAATTTTTGTTATGAATTTTTTTGCTTCAACTATTTGATCATCAATAATAACATAACTAGATGCATCTAAAGATAAATAAATTTCTATAAATGAAAACATAAATAAAAGGAACTTTTGCTCTGAAATTTTCTTAATTTATTTTCAATGAATTTTGAGTATGGTCTAGTCAGGCGAATATGAGAGAATAGCTCAAGAAAGAATCCTAGTGAGCTATAAATACTTTAAGACAAGTTTGAATCGTTCGTTTATTGTTGTGGAGCTCACAATCTTCGAATTTCGACTTGAGACTAATCTTAACGAGATAATTCCATTGTAAAAGTTTCAGATCTTTCTATTGTCACAATCCTAAGATAGGATGACAGTAAAAGCATGTCTTTCACATTGCCATATATACCAGATGAGTCAATATTCTTAATTCCAAATCGGAACAACAAAAAGATCTGAAATTTTCATAATAGAATATTCTTGTTAAAGTCTGTCTGTCGAAGAAATTCCAAGTCAACATGCGAAAAATAAGTTTTTCTAGTGTTCTTGAGAAGGGATAGCGGTTTTGTGTTAAAAACTACTATTCAAATGCATATAGTTCCGACTCAAGAGCGATTAATGAAATGAGAGAAACTTTTTTGCTCAATCTTTCCCTCTACTAATGTTTGAGTTCTTTTGAAAAGAGAACTCAAATTTCATCTAGAAGTGTCATCAGATGATCCCTAAAGATATGGTCAGAGGGTCAAACTCTCTCTGCTTCTTATAATTTTTTTCTAGCTACATCGTTACAATAAGTCACGAATGGAGATCAATAATCTCTAGTCTCACTTATCATCTAAGGATTATTATACAGTTAAAGAGTAATTCAAAAATAAGTAAAAAAATATTAAGGAAATAACAACTCAATCGAAAACTTCACGTTGACATTTTTTAGAGATTCATATCTCGACTGCATTCAGCTAATCGCATAAATATTTCTAAAAGAAAAATTATCAATAACTTAGATTTCATTTTTGAAGCATATATAAAGTTACTTTAAAAACGACTTTCTTATGCTTTTACCTAATTGTCGTTTTTGTTCACCACCATTTCCAGCAGTCATTTTTAATTGAATTTCATCCATTAATGAACGAAATGTTTGTTGTTCTAATCTTTCTTGTGCTAAATATTGATCAATTTTTGATATAAAAGAATCAGGTATTAAAGTTAAATTTTTAAATTCAATTAAACGTTCAACTATTGTTGAAAATATATTATAACCATTAACAGATAAACTTTTTGTTAATTCAATATAATAATCACGTTCATAAACAAATGGTTTAAGTATTAGATTTGATTTTGGTAAATAAAATTCTTTTAATTTTATTTTAAATAAACGAAATGATGCTATAAATTGTTGAGAATGAAAATAATGATAATGATCACGAAATAAATGATGTTGACATGGACGTGTTGATGATACAGAAAATGATTCAAGATGAAATAATAATTCAAGAAATTTTGTAAATGATAATGACCATGTATTAGCTGACATTAAACGTTTTGCTGATGACTATATAAATTCAATTTTTCATTATTAATTCTTTTTTTATACAAATATTCAATATAAAAGTAAATACATAAAATGTTGATCATTAATTTTTTTTTTCTCTTTCGAACTGTTTATAATAAATTTTTATGTTACATTCTTAACGAAACGATGCAATAGAAAAGAGAAATATTCTTAAAAGAAATCTGCAGTTTTCATAAGATTTAGCAAAACAATGTAAAATAGTAGTCAGTATATCCTTGAATAAACAGATTTCAGAATATCTTTTCTATCAATTGATTTCAAAAATGCGCATTTCGAAACGTGTTTTATCGAAATAGATATGCGAGTTAACATATCAAACTGTTTCGCTGAATCTTACAAAAACTGAATACATTATTTCTATGGGTACTTGTTCTTTATAAACGTATTATCAAAATAAATCATACAAAACAGTTAATAGTCACTCGATAGTTTTTTTGATAACAACATGTAACTTTCTATCATGTTTCTATCAAAAGTTTTTCACAATCAAACACTTCAGAATGATTTTTGATTCATCCTATAAATAATTCGAAAGAAAAGAAAAAGTTGTATTTATTTGTAAGAAAAATTTCCTTTACAACAACCTTCTATCGAAAAGAACTAAGTATCAATATTTTGTGATATTACTTTTGTATTCTATAGTATATTTGAGAATTTTTAAATAAAAATTTTTACATACTTCTCGACAATGTTCACAATAACTCCACATATAAATACCATTTGATTTTGAAAGTTTTTGTAAATTTGATGTTGTTTTATCAACATGTTTAATACGAATAACTAATTTCATTTCACCATGTACAATTCTTAAATAAATAAATTATTAATAAAATTTATTCTAATCAAAAAAAACTTACTGTCGAACATGATCTTGTAATGGTTGTTGACATGTTTTACATGGTGCATCATTTGTTGAAAAACAATGTTGTTCTAGAAATGAACCTAATGTTGTATCTTGAATTGAATATGCTGGCATTTCAAGAATTTCAGGTTGTCGACAATTAAGTAATTTATTTTGAACAGTACAATGTGCACTATATAATATTGCAATTTGTAAATGAAGACGTAAATCAAGATATGGTGCAAATATTGTTTCTAATGGTTGATCACGAGGTTGTTGTTGTTGATATAGAGTTAACCAATCATACCAACGACGACGGCGAAACTGACATCGACCACCTGATGCTCGATAATGAGCATATACAGCCTGAATATACAAAGAAATATTATTATTGAATATTGAAATATCAGTAACTTCTCGAAAAGTAAGAGGACATGATTATGAACATTTGAGATATTCGAATAGTTTGATAATAGGGCAATCATTCAAGTATCATCATAGATTAATTGTAAACAAGAATTATCAGGAAAGTTATGCTTGATTATTCGATAGAAGGAATAGATAATTTAAAGAACAGAAAAAATATAATTTTTAGATAATATAATTTTAACCTAGATCAGGTCAATTAATGATATAAATAATCGAACCTCTTATTGATGCTTATGAAATGCTTGAGTATCCTAAGTAGAACAATCATATGATATGAATACATCTTCAGGTAAGACTGGAAACGTCTTGACAAGCTCAGATGCTTGAATCTTTTATTCCATCGCTGAACATTCTTATTCATATACTTGAATTTTTGCTCAAACGTGTGTAAGCGTGATCACAAACGAAATTCGATGTGAAAAACAGGACGAACTTCAAACACTAGAAGCATCTGTAATATGTGAAACTACTTTTAATTAAATGTTATACATGCTTTTCAGTTTTATTTTCAAAATGGTTCAAATCTTAATAAAAGCTCACGATTTAAATAACAAAGACTGGAACAGACAGGTAAAAAAGGAAATCTGCATAAATACTGAGTGTCAAACATCCTCTATGCCAAGAAGCATTCTTACTTCTTCCAGCGGAGCAGCTTTTATTATTTTGTTCTAGTTGATGATTTCAAGTGTCCACATTCGTATGATGTTCACAAGTTCAGGACATCAAGTCATGCAAGAATTCAAGTACATGTCCATGGGCACATCTTGAGGTCTATACATGACACAAAGATAATTCGACTTGGATTATCAATCCATTGTATAGTCAAGCTCATGAAGGAATTTATCCAAGTGTGAAATCGATTTGGTGCTAAGACGATGTTCATTTGATGAATAATAAAAAAAAAAAGTTTAGAATGGACAACAGATTTTAGTTAAAAATCCAGTAAATTTTCGATATCTAAAGGATAGAAGTTCAGAAAAACAAACTATTCAAGACTTTTCTATTATTCATCAAACAAGCATCGTCTTAGTCGAAAATCGATTTGATATCTGAAGAAGTTTCCTCATTCGTTTACGTGCCGTGTCTGGTCCTGAGAATAGAACATTAAAAAAGTCTCCTCTGACGATCTCTGGAACAGAATAAAAATTTCCACTTTATTTTTGGTTTCGCAAAAAACTATTCTAATTATTTACTTTTGAATTTTGATCAATACCAGGTAAAATAGTATTATCTTTAATAAATTTATGTTTATCATGAACATGAATAATTTCATTATTATATGGTGAATTATAAAACCAACTATATGTATTTGTATCTTTTATTTGTTTATCTTCATCAATTGAATTATTATTATTTTCTCGTTTTTGTTGATATTTATTATTATATATATTTTGATAAAGTAATTCACTAGGTACATATTGTTGATTTGTACATTTTAAAATATATGGAATATTATATTTAACATATGGTGATGTTGATAAAAGAAGACCATTTGTTATTAAATCAATAATTGATTGTTTATTTGTTACAATTTTATCAATATATTGTTCTAAATCAAATTGTTTTATTAATAATAAATAATCATTATAATTATTCGTTATTTGTCCATAACAATCATTTAAATATGCTTGTTCTAATTGTGTACTATATGTTATAAGTAAAAATAAACGCATAATAGATTTAACAACTTTTAATTGTTGTAATGTACCACCACGTATTAATACAGTACAACCATATTCAGGTGGACAACCAGCAAAAAACATTAAACGTTTTTTATAACTATTATTTAATTCATATTCTTTTATTTGAAAATATTCACAATGACCTAATGGTGTTTGAATATTTGATGGTAAACGACTATCAATTGATGTCATTATTGTTGTACATAAACATTTTGATAAACGTTGCATTATACTTTCTTTTACATTATATATTAATACAAGACCATTTGATATAATAAAATCTTGTGCTAATCTACAAAAATAAAAAAATTTAAATTTTTAAATTAAAAATATAATAAAATAAAATTCTTTTTGCAAATTTTTTACCTGCTTACAGTTTTTTCAACAACAAGTATATCAGGTTTAAAATGTGAATTAATTTTATCAACACATGAATAAAGATAATGTTGTTCTTGATTAAGTACAGGTTCAAGTGTTGTTAAACGATGATCATCACTACGTTGATATTCAATTTGGGATTTAAGTAATAAAACACGTGGTTGATCAATTTTAGATGGCATACTACGATGTATAACATTTTTTGTAAATACACAACCATTTATTATTTCTGTTTCAGTTTTAAGACCACCAGGTAATTTTTTAAATTTAACATTACGTCTTATATCATTATTTGGTGTTGAATCATTATTTATAGATGTTACACGAACTATTTTTGGTAATGTTCGACATATATTTAATATTATTGGAAACCATTCTTGATCAACATAAAATTGAATAAGAATTTGTTTAAGTAATAATTCTTCATATTCATTATATAATGATGATATAGAATCTGATGGTGAAGATTGTTTCATTGTAGAATATCCATCGATTTCATCAACTTAATAAATAGAAATTATCACAATACTAAATATTTTGAAAAATCATTTTTCACTTAATGCTATTGTGTCTTCGATCAATCATGATGAATAATGAATAAGTCTGTTTTGATTTAGTTTTCTCGTCTTTGCTTATTAAGTTTTAGGTATGTAACTCTATCAGTAAAGCATAGCTGAGAACTTTGATGAAAGAGATTTACTTCGAAATTCACTTGATCCGATTCTACACTCATGTGATAAAGTCGAGTTAAATGCCAATCATGATTGATCGAATAGAAATAGTCTTCATGGAAAAGCAATGGAATACTTGGAACACATTCCTATATAAGTTTTTGTTTTAATTTTTACATTAATTTATTTCTATTTTAACATATGCATAATACAAAATTCGTATAAATTTCATTTTTTATCTATTTATTTATAGTTTGATAGAAATTAAATAGCTGAGTATGAACATATAATTAGATTAATTTCTTCATTTCGAAAATCTCTGAATGTTAATAAGATCACAGATATAATCAAAGTAACGTTTTTCTCAAAACACCTCTTTTAAGTATCTATGATCTTTTTTTTTCTTTTATATATATATATGCAGGTTTATTGACATATTTATACACCTATCTAGTTTTTTTTGTGACACAAGATAATGTCAAATATCTTATCTAGTATGAGTCAGATGGTTTCAGTTTACAACATTCTTCATTTAATTTGTTCAGATTTTGTTTTCTTATTGAGAAAATAGAATATTTCTTCGTTTTGATAGTAAAAATTGTGTATGTCACATGAATTACTAAAATATATATATACTTTAGTGTAAATTTTTATGCTGACTCTGAATACAATATTTATTTGGCTTTTTAACTGACCTTTCTATTAAAGAAACTGCGATAAATAAGACAATTTTTTTGGTCCTTTGACTACCAAAACGAAAAAATGTTCGATTTTTTTAAATAATAAAATGAAATCTGAAAATAAACTGAAATGGATGCTTTTGTTACTAAGAGCCAGCTGATTCAAATGAGATAAGACATGTGATCTTATCTTTTGTCATATAACAAAACTAGATAGGCTTACATACGTCACTATAAACCTACATATATTCATATCGAGGGTCTTATGTCATTTATTTTAAATCTAAGAACGAAAGGATTTAAATGAGTATGATTTGTCTTTTTTCGATAGAATATTTATTATGGAACTTATTTTACATATTAAAATTAATAATTATCAAATAAATTATAAATAAAATTTTAAATCTTATATATTTTTAATAAAATAATGTCCTTTCGAAACGAATACATGACACTATTTCTTGTAGTAATATTATATTTAATGAATATTTTATTGTAAATTATAAGGATATTTCACAATTTCTATACAGACATTGATTCTTATCCGTCAAAAAGAAAAAGAGTATATTATGAATCTTGAATAATAATAAAAAGTTTCTTATATTCAAAATTAATATGTATATATCTACCTTGTTCATTTCCATCTGTTGGCATATTAAAATCACTTCCTTCTTTTTTACTATTTATAGATATTGTATCCTCTTGTGGTGTATTTGCTACTTGTGCATTAAATTGTACATAATTAAGATCAGTACCAATTACAACACCTGTTGTTTTAGCCAATTTTTGTTGAAATATATCTAAAATATTATGTGATGTTTCGATTAAAAAAAAAATACACATTCCATTAAAAATTACCAATACTATTTGATTCATTAGAAGTTGTTGATGCTGTACTACCACTTCGAAATAGACTTGATTCTATTGGTAAATCACGTTCTAATCCACGCTATGAAAAAATAAATAAAATGATAAAGAATGATAGAAAAATTTATAGACAATATGTTAGTTCATTTCTCATTTGAACTGAAAGTATTTCTGTCAAGTCAAAAGCTATAAAATTGTTCGCTTTTTAAATATAGACTTAGAAATTGTGTTCGAAAATAATAAATCTTTGAAGAAGTCAAAAGAATTATTTTGAAAGAAAAATTTTTACTATTGCGATTCGAAACTAAAAGTTCGGATCTTTATTTATATATATCAACTCGTAAATCTAAAACTATGCTAGAAAATGCACTGTTTTTTGTTTTTCTTAAATACACTCATATTTTGAAATATCGACAATCATTTTACATTGAAACAAGCTCTTGAAAAAAATGTCTATGGTCTCACTAGAGTAAAAGTCACAATTTAGTTTAATATTACGTTTTTGTAGAGAAGTATCCACTTTACAAAACAATTGACTTTGACACTTTTTAGTATGTTCGAAAAGAGGTTCGTTCACGATGAAAAATAATGTTGTAGGTCTTTCAAAAAAATCCTTCAATACTCTTGAACCAATATAAACACAAAACTTCTAACGAGAGAACTACCATAAGCGATACTCGCTGTTTGAGCTCATATTGAACTCACATGTAGATCTAAGTGAGATCAACAAAAATCTAAAAGTGTTCATTCCATTCAACCATTTTTGACATTAAAAAAAAACAAACAAACAAACAAATATTTACTTTTCCTAATTTATATAGCGTTTGATCAGGTTTAAATTCAATAAATGATGTTTGTGGTAAAGCAACAGGTTCTAAATATAATTCATTAATAAAACATTGACATAATAATTTAGCTTCCGATAATATTGAAGCACGTTGATTTTTAATTAACCAATCAACAATATCTTTTCCAGGTACACATTCAATTGTTCTTAAACGATAACGTTGTTTTTGCATTTGTAAACCTTGTGATGTACGAAATATTTCATTAAATAAAGATTTTAAATTAAAATTTGTATTTGTTCGTTGTTGTGATTGTTGTTGAGAATTTTTTTGACTTATTTCAGAATTTGTTAAATTTTGTTCAGTAGAATTAGATGTTTGTTCATTAACAACATGTAATAATAATGGATCACTTGAAGATTTTGATAAAGAAAAATGATCAGCATTAAATGCATTATCAGATGCATTTATATCTTGAGAATATGTTTGTAATTGTTGTTGTTGTTCTTGATCAATTTGTGCTATTGATAAAAGATATTGTTGATTTGATGATGATGACGAAGATGATGTTGGTGTTGTTGTCGATGACATTGAATTTGGTTTTGGTAATTTAAGTAATGTTGATGAACAATATGAACATAGACGAATATTTGATTCACTATATCCAGCTAATTTGGCTTGAGGTTCATATGAACAACATCGATTACAAAATAGAAGACCACATATACGACCTAAATGAAAGCAAAAGAAAACAAAATAATAAGAAAGAAAAACTTTTTCTCGTTTTATTTTTGTAAATTTATGGAATTTTTATACACATACAATGATGACGTCGACGAAATGGTGTAAATTTTTCTTGACAATCATAACATTCTTTGCCTAAGAAACCAATGAAAGATTAAAATAAAAAAGCATATGAATTGAATGAAATTTCCTTTTCTTTTTTACCCGCACTATCTGGCATCCAATGTTTTGTTTGATTTGGATTTCGTTCAAGACCAAAATTTGTTATCCGACGTAACATTGATTCGCCAAGAAAGCGATCATCTGATCCTGATGCTTGGTTTTTCGAAGGATTATCCATTGGATATTCCTCCTTTATATTTGACAAAAAAAAAACTTAAAATGATACTATGTCAATGTAAAATTACTCGAATCACATCAGCAGTAACTTGATTAAAAAGTAAAAGTATTTATACTATTGGTCAATGCAAACGTCAATAAAATAATCACAATGTGATTAACGCAAACAGTATGAGGAGAAATGAAAATAAACTTTGGAGCTGATAAAATCCGACAACAAAACTGATTCTCATATAGAAAATCCAAATTCTTGTTTATCTACATAAATTTTTTTTTTTGAAATGAATTTATATCATTTCATGCGATAGATGTCAGTATAATATAGAGCTCGTCGGATTCGAAAATGTTGAAATCCGGAACTTGAATTTATAGTCAATAATCCTAATGCAAATTTTTAATCCGCACTTGATAATCACTTCGAAGATATGAGATTCTAGAATTATTAAATAGCGTCACAACAAAATGAAAATGTAAGGCCTAGATATTATACATATCAGAATTGCTAAGTCAAAAAATAAAAATGAGAAAGTGTTGTCTTTCAAAATCAGAATTTCTGTGTTGGAATGAAACTAAAAAGCAGTTTCGATTGTGTTAAAATATCTTATATATTTTTCTATGAACATCATATTCGTTATTTTATAACTGTTGATTGATCTGAATCGTAGAGAAAAGATATTTCATAGTTTAAAAACTATATACCAATATGAACACAGCTGAAAAGGAATTCAGTATTGAATACGTTCTTTCGTAAAGCTTTGACATATTTTTACAATTAAACATACTAGAGCAAATAGTTTTGATGACGTTAGTCGAGTTACTTTCAAAGAAGACTTCTTAGCAATGAAGTGAATGTGCATTTTTCAGCACATAAGAAATGTCATTGTGCTATGTGATAAGCAAGTTATGTGGAATTATTAAAAACTGTTTTGTTTTTTCAGTAGTTTTTAAAGGAAAAATACTTCCTATATTCTCTAATGCCATGGCAAAGACCTCAGTTTCGTACTAAATGTTTAAAGGTGAAACAATAAATATTTCCTATGAAAAATTAGTTCAGTTATAGTTCCAACAATAAACAATTGGCCATTCAGAATTATATTCACAATAATAATGAACTGAAAAAGAAAATAAATTATTTACACAAGTGTTACACACATAGGAATGAGTCATTTGTATATCTTATTCGAATGCTGAGAATCTAGAGTCCAGAAAAATCTTCGACATCGGAAAAATCAAAAAACAATTAGGAACCGTTATTTAATCTTTTCATAAAATTCGGAAACTCATACATATCAGCTTCTGACAGTGAACTTCATCCTAAACATTAAAATGGATATTGACTATAAAAACAACCAATGCCTTGTTCTTGGAAAGAGAATAATTTTCTTTGATACCTGTAAAAATATCTTTTTTGAAAATTTCATTTTTATTAATTTATACAATAAAAAACGTTATCCATAATATCAAAAAATCTTCCTAACCAACAGCATTTGGAAAGATTTAATTGTCAATATCAATTTTCACTTAAAAAAAAAAGAAGCACTTCAAGTATTTCATGAACACAAACAATCAATGCATAATGTATCAAAAATGAACCAAAGATAGGCCTAATTAAATACATAAATCACCGCGTTCACACTCATATTGCACATTTATTATTTTTTTTGCCTATTATTCCTTTAAAATAAACTGAAAAAAAAATTATCAATATTTATAATTTTGTAACTTAAGTAAGTCATACTGTTCATTGAAATGCAAGTAGAAATCTGAACTTAGAGTGTTACTCTCTCATCAGTACATAATTTGAAATAAATTCACTTTATAATTGTGCATTTTAATTCATCAACAGTAAGTATTTTTATTGGATTCTTGTGAAGGATGAAGCCATAAATCGTCATACTCTCAAATAGCAGCAATGATTTTAAGTTATTTTTTTACAATCATGATTAAAAATAAACGATATCGAAAGTAGACGAAAGTAAATAGACTACTATTTATATGTTATAGAAGTATTTGTATTGAAAAGACGTTCTAAAAATTTGAATGATTACGAGCGATAGAGAGAGAGAGAAAAAGAACTCTTCAACAATTGTATTGAAGCCGTCATAACATACTTACTCTAATCACAATAAATATATGTAATCATAATCAATCTTTTTTTTTTTGTGTTTGATATATCAAAAAACTATAATTGTAACATATAAATTCACCTATATATAAAATTGATCAAACATGTTCAACTAATAAATAATATCTATGAACGTGATTTTATTTCAAAAAAAGAATAACAATCATCTGGATTACATGAATTTGTATACAATATATTTCAGTAAAAATAAAGTCAATCAAACGGTAAGTGCCTCATTATAATGATCAAAAACATATACAAACATACGAGACGAGACAAGATTGAATCGTATCCAAATATATAACCGTTGACACTATTATACTAATTCCTTTTCGTTGAACGGAGTAACACTATGTATAAGTGCGCGTTCGTACACATACAATCGTTTGATCATCGGGCGTTGAATAGTACAAACAAAATTATATATTGCTATCAAAATATAAACTAAATGATTTCATCATTATTATGATAAAGTTTAGTAATCAATAAGATAAAATTATAGTTTTCTAATTTTATCTCAAATATTTCAAGAAATGTTCAAAAATCTATAATAATCATCAACACTAATGAATTTCATTTTAATTAATTTGCTTCTATTATCTTTCTATAATAGTTCAATATCAATTGACTTTCTCGTTTTTACATTTGAATTATACATAAAATATTGACAGTATTATAAATAATAGTAACCTGATGATGACTAGTATCAGGAGCGTAACACATCTGCTCAATGGTGAAAAAGATTTTATTTTTCTTTAGCAGAGCTCTAGTTCTCTTTTACATTCTGTTAGCATTAAGATACTATTCTTTTGTCGAAAAATTCGCAACATTCTGATTACCAGTCCATCCTTAATTACACCACTACTAGAAATCTTTAGGCTTTCTCAAAAAATCAGCCGATCTTATTTTACACGGAAAGAAAATATCCTATTTTCAGCTTCAAGTGATAGTTGAGCCCTCTCCAATAAACTGTTCCTGATTCGACCCCACAACAATAAAAGAAAAAAATTACTTTTTGTTTTTTCTTCAATCAATTAAAATTATTACTCAATAAATTGAAAGTTAGTTTAATAAAAGCAGTCCAATGATTATGATGTTTATTTATGACTAATAATAAGTACATAAAAATTTAATCGAAAATACTTTTATTATTAGAAAGTCATCAATTTTCTTTTTTTTTCTTGTTTCTTTTTCAATCGCTTCTAATTGGACAAGAACTCTATTCACTTTTTTCTCTTTTCCTTTTCTCAACCAAAAAAGAAAAAAATTAAGCTTGTTTCCTCTTTCTTTTCTTCATTTAAGCTACGTAAACAACAAATCAATCATCTAGAGAATTCTTTTCTTTTTCTTTTACCTCTGATTTAACTAAAATACATCCAATCATAAGCAATAGTGACAATTGAAAAAAGAAAAAGAAACGATTTTCTATATTCTCTCTCTCTCTCTCTCTTTCTGTGTTGTCTCTCACTTTTTTTTTTTTATTTTTATTCTTTCGCTCTTTCTCTACCAATCAATTGTCATACAATCAATACGAAGCCAATTGCACCAAGTAATTCTCATTTATGTCTCGATACGATAAAATTAACTAACATATTTTCGAAAGGAAGAGAAATAGAAATCGAGAGAAAGAGACAAATCAATAGACATTCGTTTGATCATTAAAATGAAGATGACAGATATTAAACATAGCCAAGATAAAGAGAGACACGAGATTAACTGGAAAAATGAAGCTTATTCATCACAACAAGTTCAACATTCAATGAATATTTATACTCAACAACTAGTTAATAATTCGGATAACGATCAAGTATCAAAAATGGTTAGTATATCTTCAATAGCACCAATCACATCAGAAAATCTTGAAAAAGAAGAAAGTGATAGTTTAAGTGGTTATAGTGATGATGAAAATCATAAACGAAAACAACGACGTTATAGGTAACAAAAAAACAACAACAACAATTAATAATTAAATTAAAAAAGAATAAAATCAATTTTATTTTAAATTTCATTTTAGAACAACTTTCACTTCATTTCAATTAGAAGAATTAGAAAAAGCATTTCAACGTACTCATTATCCTGATGTTTTTATGAGGTAAAATATTTGATTAATTTAAAATTCTTTCAAATTTTACTACATTACTATTACATCATTAAATATTCCGTTTGTTTGTATATCGATAAAAAAAAAAGAAAACCTCATTAGAAATGTTTTTTTATTATTATAATATATATATATATTTGAAATATGAATGCAAACATTTTCAAAGAAGAAACAACGAACGCATCGATCGATTCAAATCAATTTTTTTTTCTTCATAAAATTGGTTACTCGCGCAGTTCTTTGGCATCCGTTTACTTCAATAATCGTCAATCACTTAAACCAAACGAAATAGAAATAGTCACTTTCTCTCTCTCTCTCTCAGCTACTTCTTTTATGAGAATTTAGAACAAAATTTTCTTCTCTCCCCTCTTGCTTATATACACATACAATATTCTCTCTACCCACTTATCTTTGATTAACAATTATATGAACTGCACAGTAAGAGAAAAAGAAGAAGAAAAAAAAAAGTAAAAGTACTTATTGTTAAGAGCTTCATGTACCTCCCAATAGAAAAATCTATGTAATGATGTTTATCTATACCGACTTATTTCTTCCTCATCAACCAATCATTTAATAAATACCTATGTCAACACTTATATATCTCATAGTTTCACAGCGGGAAATTATTGTTATAGACACTTATCACACGAATAAGCGAGAGGATTGTTTTGGTGATAAACTTCGATTAGACACCTATGATCGTTTTGATGAGTTTTATTTGTTTAAAGAAATACTCTTTCACATACTTCTGTGATAAAATGAATACAATAGAATA